GGTGATTCACCAAAATGCAGCTCGGTGTTTCTGCAGAGACAAACGGAAGTGACGGAATATTAGCTTTCAGCCCACGAGAAGGTAAATAAAACCGAGAGAAAAACGATCCAAACCTAAAGGAAAAAGTTGAAAATTCATTGAAATAAATGATGCAGAAATTATCCTGCAAGCTTCCTGGCCAGAAACTACTAAACCAGAAACACAGAATATTAATAAAGGGGATAAATAAATCTCAAGTAACAAACCTGCAGATATCACGGCGCCATGTGGGAACATTTTTGTGCGTATGGCACACTGTCCTTGATACTGAAAGTCCAGAAAAGGAACATTGCGTAAGTGTCAAATACAACGGCAAAGGAGATGCAATATACAATGTCAGCAATTTGAAACACGTACATTACGGATGGAAGAATCCTCTGGTTTACAGAAGTTGAACAAAACAAATAATTCCGAGATAATTATGATTTGGTTTTTATGTTCAAGATTCTAATTAACCATAGAACATGATGCTTCTATATATTGAAACACGTACATTACGGATGGAAGAATAATCATGCCAGCAATTTGAGGAATATATGCAACAACAACAAAAATCCTAAGTTCTAAAACAACAAAATAAGAGAATCTCGAAACAGAAAAATGTTCAAAGCTTCGTAGTCGCTCCAATGGCGCTTTACTAATTCTCATAGATGTTGCTTTGCATGTGCAATTCATTATTCATAGGTGTGGTGTCTTCTAAAAAGGCCTCGATAGAATAGTGGTAGAACCCTAACCCTAGTTTTGCCTGCACATGTGAAAGTAGGCAACATTGCCTACTTTTGGGGAGTAGGAAAAGTTTGCCTATTCAATTGACTGTTCAATTGACTACTCCATTGAAGCTTGATTTTACCTATGTAGCTCATGAAAAGGAGTTTGGTTACTCATTTGCCTATTCCATTGAATATGCTCTTACTAGAATTAAGTCTTGTTTCGAGGTGCTATGCTTTTACTAGAAACAGGTTTTAAGAAGCACAAACCCCAATCAAAACCTCGTCAAAGCCTGTCGAAGGACTTTTTACTTTGTCAAAGGCCCTGAACCGTAAGTTGAAACTTTCTTTTGCAACTTAATACTACAGTTTAATGATATTTCTGTTTTTTTTTCGTAAGTGTGAAGTCTTAAAGCATCTTCAATGGTATAGACAACCAAAGCAGGCAAGATTGTACTGTAAAGACTGACGTGAAATATTGCTTACTCATTTGCCTCATGGAAAAAAGTGTCATATGCATACCAAGTAGGCAAATTATACTTGATTATAACGGTATTAGTTCAATTTGGATTTGACAAGATCCCTCATAGAAACCGAACTGTACCAAACCATACCATTATTTAACATTTGGTTCGGGCTCTTGGGCCTAAACCAAACGGTTACGAATCCTACAGCATCTTCCACAGAAGTTTCCTGAAAAGATTGGCTACATAGCAATAGAACGGCATTGCATAATATAGATTGAACAAATTGTCGGAAGATGGCTGATACGAAGCCAATTCAACATCAAAAGAACTTGGCATTCTCCAATTCACATCCTCAATTGACCAGGAAAATCAACACTTACAAACAACAATACCAGCAGTTTGAGAAAAAAAAAACAAAACAAATGGTCCGAGGACCACGAACAATAATAAGGGAACTCTCAACCAGACGACAACTTCCACATCTACTCGAATGCTTCATCATCATCATCCGGAAGGGGCTGACTAGCAGCTGCAGCAAGTTCAGCCTCGTGCCTGTATTATCAATTACAAAATCAAACGTAAGCTCCTGTTTGCAACAACTCATCAAAAAGTACCAACACCAATGCGTTGAGTCCAATCATAAACCGTTAGCCTTTTTTCCAAATCTCTATATTCCTAGTCACTACATTAGACGTGTGTGCGCAAGTGTGGGTTGTGTGTGTGTGTGAGAGAGAATTTGGTTACGAAATAAGACTTACTGTTGCTGTGCAGCAAGATCAATGTGCACTTCTGGAGGAGCCAAGGCAGGGGATTCAACAAAATGCAAGTTAGGATCCCTACAAGAAGCCGCACTTTCAGTAACTTAAACCGCACTTCCAAAAGTCACAAGAAAAATACATTTATCTACAACTCAAAGATTTTACCCTGCAAGCTTTCTGGCAAGGTACAAGAAAGGCTTCTCGAAGTTATAATTGCTCTTAGCTGATATCTCATAGTACTGCAGATTCTTCTTCCTGTGGAAAGTAACTTGCTTTGCCTTGACCTGCCTGTTCTTCACATCAACCTTGTTTCCACAAAGAACAATGGGTATGTTTTCACAGACCCTGGAATTCAAAACACGATAACCCCAAAAAAAAGTTAATATCAAACCCAAAACCTCATTGGGTGAAATCCATGCGATAACAAATAATGAAAATTTTGCATGCAAACCTGCAAAGATCCCTGTGCCATGTAGGGACATTCTTGTATGTCAACCGAGCAGTAACATCAAACATGATTATAGCGCATTGCCCATGGATGCTGTACAACAATGTAATTCAAAACCCCAGTAAGAAAATGTCACATTTTGGGGGATAACAATCAAACATGCATGGTGACTAATAACTACAAAATGTTCATGCATCCACCAGGAACAAAAACTACAGATAATGACATGAATGCATAGAGTATAAAGCATCATAATCAATAAAACAAAGGTTTCGTCATCACGATTTGCATACCACATCTCAATGAAGCATGTAATCATTCGACTAAAAAAACAACATTGAATTAGCACTATACAAGAATAAGCACCAACTTTAGACTTGGCAAATCCAACAAACCAAATCTCGAGTAACAATTAATGCTGATAAGAATTTAGAAAGCAGAATACTTGTACTCAAAACACAGCCAAAAAACAAAAGCAAACAAGCTTGATAACAAACTTCAGCCAGAAATTTAAAAAAATCTAAAAAATACTCACTAGTATCCATCTCTGAGACCTCCAAACTTCTCCTGCCCGGCTGTATCCCAGCAGTAGAATCGAATTTTTCCACAGTTGGTGAAAAAGTCCAATGGATGAACCTCCACACCAATAGTTGCTGTCCATTAAACAAGAATGTGAATGAGTTACATAGATCACAGAATGGCAAGGGAACAGTCAAAAAAGAAAAGACCAACTCAAAAGGGAAAAGTGGTACGCAAGATACTTACGTTCATATTTCTTCTCAAATTCACCAGTAAGATGTCTCTTCACAAAGGTTGTCTTTCCTGCATCGCCAGAAAAGTTTCAATTAGGGAAAAACCACAATTACAAACAAACTACTCAATCCATATTGTCATAGTTACAAACTTAAACCACAGTTTGAAAAAGAAAATGTCCACAATCACAAATAACAAAAACCTTATTACACCGAGACAGTATCAAACCACCAAACATAATATTTAAGCCGCATTTGCATTTGAATCATTATAACAAAGTTCAAGAACCGAAACCCCAGTAAACAATTTCTAGAGAAGCAAGAGGTTTAGATGTACTCTTAGTTCATTTCCACTGCTATTATCGATTTGCAATAATGTGATCAATATCAAGAGGAATCACCCTACAACTATATAATCACTAAAAAATCCAAACTTCACATTTACCATTTCGCTACAACTACTCAAAAAATTAAAATCTTTAACCAAATTTAAAAATCAAACTCCATATTTTCCAAGCCACAAAGTTCGCATCTGGCTCATCTGAGCTCAGAAACCAATCCATTTTGTCCAAAAAAAAATTCAGAAAACGAAAGTTTTCTGAGAAACCAAACAGATCATGAATCGGAAGAGAAAATGAAGGGCATACCTGTTCCACCATCGCCGACGATGACGAGCTTGAAGCTCGGGTAATCCACGGTCTGCTGATTTGGCAAAGCCTGCAAAATTTCACCCAAAAATTTCAAACAAATTAGTAAAAAATCGGTTTTCTCAGCAGCCAAACAGAAAACACAAAGATCAAAAGAATCGGACAGAAATCTTCCCGAGAAAAAAAAGCGAGGACTTACCATTTGAGTCTAACGCTGTGAGTGGCGCGGAGAGCAGGGCGAGTGGGAGAGAGAGAGGGAACGAGTTGAGATTTGTTTAGGGTTTACGTAGTCACAGTCTTTTCAGAGACCGTAGCACTTCATTATGTTAGCTTCAATGTGACGCAGGGATGTGGGCCGTCCGATTGTGACAGCAGGGATGATCTTGATTGACACGTAGCAGAGTCGGTTTGACGTTTTGGACTGTGCCTGGTTTCGTCGGACCCGGTTTGAAAGATTTAGTCGGGCTCTTGGGCTTGGGCTTTGGGCTGGCGTAAGCCGTTTTTATCATTAAAAATGCTTTCGAACTCTCATTTATTTGTTCACTTTTTTTTCTGGTTTCTGGCATAGATTCATGAGTTGATGCATTTGACATGTGGATTTGATCTAGTGATATTTTTCTTATGATGTTGTTAGAGGGCATTGAAAGTTTTCTCACGTTGAAAAGAAAGCTTTGCGTAAATAGTTTGTATAATTTGGGTTTCTCTTTTATTGTCAGTTGATTTTAAGTTGGATGTTCACATTCTGACGAATGTCAAATTTTCCTTATATGGTCTAATTGCGTCACTTACATTAATTTTCAACTGTTTGAGATCTTATGCATCACGATATAACGCAAAGAATTAAGATTATAGGAAGTTAAGCTTTTGGCATGTTTACTCAAGGAAGTCATGAATAAGAATGAGAAGGAACAGGTATCAAACCAACTCCTCCCCAATTATGGTGCCTTTTGGACTCACCAAAGCCTAGCAAATCACCTTGACGAAGCACAAAACAGTTAAGAAACATGCTCTCTAAAATGGTTTCTTTATTATAAATGATATTATCATCTAAACTACACGACGAGAAGGGTTTATTCGAAACGCAATGACGTTGAATGGATCAAAGATGAATAAGCTATTTACGAGGACAATCTATCACTTGCAATTTTCTGCAATGATTTTAAGTCCTTTTTGTTTTGGAAATAACTAATATCATGTATTCCCATTTATTTTGCTCATGAAAGTACATAACCATTGATAAAAATCAAACTATTATTATACACTATTATTCCCCATTAGTATACATACATATATGTTTAAACTCACACTAATCCCGCCTCTTCTCTTCTTTAAAAAGCACTCATAAAATGAACCAAAAGTTCATCATCATCTTCATAACATAACCCAAATTAAGCGACCTCATTGTATATCATAAATATACGGTCTCATTTCCTCACGTTCATAAACTGAATTCAAACCCTAGCTCCAAGCCAATTTGCATTTACCAAATTTGCCCTCACTGTCTAGGGTTTCCGAAGGCTCAACAGCTTCACGTCATCAACCACAGGTCCACACAGAGAAGAGAAGTCATCACTCCTCATGGTGTAATATGTGCTTAGAAACATGACACGTGTCCGGGTCGAAGCCGCCACGAATTTGAGCACCGCCCGCTTGAACCCGCCTTTGCCTTTGGACTCGTAAGGCACTTTCACCGTGTTCTTGTCTGCAAATGCCTCCACAATCATGGAGCCTTCGCATGAGTTGCTTGCATCTCCTACGGAGAATGAGAGCACATAGGTCTTGCCGGGGATGGTTCGAACGACTTGGGCGATCGCGCTTTCTTTTCCGGCCACAAGTTCGACCGCTCTTTTGCCTTCTGGGACTGAGAAGTGGTCTGAGTCTATGTACTTCACTGCTTTGAGGGACTCCACCATCCAGCCTGGTAACGGGGAGTGATCATCTTCTATGTTTGGTGGGATCAAGACTCCCCAAGATGTGTTGGGGAACACGTATGGTCCTTCTTCAAATCCAGCGTTTTTTAACAAGTTCTCTGCATTAGGGTATATAATTAGGCAATTATCGACGTAAATCTAGATCATTGATCAAGTTGATTTTACATGTAATGTACCTATAACATAAATTTACAATATGGTAACATTCTAACAACAAAACGTTACCCTAAGTTTTCAGTAAGTCCGACAATAGAGTGTTACCCTAAAGTTTCAATTTGGTACACTTCAATTATGCATGCATCAATGTACGAAGGGGAGAGACATGATATACCCTACAATTTTAATACAGAATGGGAAAGAAGGTCATGGCAAGCTGTGATGTCCAAGACAATGTGGCCTAAAAATTAGGCACTGCACGAGCCTATATTGATGAGATTTGCTTTCAACACCAACAATTGATGCATGTATGTGTACACTTTATTGTGAGACTCGTACAAATAAACAATCCATGTGAACTCACCATTCATGTTTTTATGAAGTTTAAATTACCGGCCTCAATTTATACAACGGAAACTATGATAGTGTTGCCTAATTAGCACAACTTTCATCCGAAATGAATGAGATATACGGTCAAGTGAGACCAAACTATAAAATTTCATACTTTTGTGAAAGTTGTCCTACAAATGACATGATCGATAGAGTGCTTGTACACAAGTTTTTCTCAACTTATAGCCTCAGAGTCATGATTAGAGCCAACTAATAAAGGAGCATTGTCTATGGGGGATGACTGAGAAATTAAACGGAAATATGAGATCTATGGAATTATCGAGAATAGCAAAGATTTACCTAAATTGATATATTTGTTCTCCCCTCAAGGAACCACTATAGTTTCTGTGGTATTAAAACTTTTACTATTGATGTCACGCATGTCAAAAACCTAGGCAGAGGGACCCAAAAAGGACATTTGCCATCTAATAATTGCACCCACAGCCCTGAATTATTTAGCTTTTCTGATGGAGGTGAAACAATTGCTCCATACAGCTATACAAAATGTGTGGTCCTTCCTTATAGGAGGACCCCATTTTTACCTTAAGACAGACATCAGAATATCTCATTGCATGTAACTAGGTCACCTATATTAAGCAATTATAGTATCAAATTCAAAATATGCTCGTGTTATATTATCATACTGTCAATTCAAATATAACATGTTAGGTATCTGATAAGAGAACTTACTGTTGGTTGCTCGAGGAGGGTACAAAGTTCGGATGGCGACCGAATCGATCAGAGGCCCGCAAGCCGGATCCTCCTCGACTCCGGGGTTATGCAAAACAAGCTCAACTGTTTCATAATCCGCCTGAAACGCCCAAGCATATGAATCCCACCCGTTGCTGCTATACACTGTTTGGATAGGCAGCACTCCGGAGTCCGGTGCCACAGAAACGTTCAAACGTTCCTCTTGAGCACAAGTCCTCGCTGCACTAAAAGTGATTGAGTAGTACAACCCCTTAGTCACTTTAATGCTCTGCTTAATCGAGGCCTCATTTCCGAGCCTAACTGCGTAGGCTCCCTCGGGGACAACCAGCAACATGTCCCCTTGCTTTTGGCCTGACTTAATGTATTCCACAAACCCAGAAATCTCCCACTTTGGTATGGCATATCGGCCGATCACTTCTGAACCCTTTATGTCTGAGGGCTTAGGGGGTAGCTCAAAATTGCCATTTTCTAAGTAACCTGCATTAGTGTATGACATTGTTTTAGGAAAGGAATAATTTTTTATCGCAATAATCATTAATAACAGCACGACAGATATGCAGAATTAATTCAATAAAAATACAAAATAAAAAAGGCATATACACATGTTAAACTGCAATTGGCGTGTAAAAGTAAGTAGGCATGGCCTACTTCTCAGCGAACAAACATAAAACGTAGTACAAGAATGTGGTCCATGTGACATATAAGTAATGAGTAATGCGTGTACATGAAACTATGCGATAAAACTATAATCAAACGAACGTAGAAAATCTTGTTGGGCACAAAATTATGACAATTGAACTCGAAAAAGTCGACCACAAGAAGAAATACTCTTAACCAATTCAGTTACAAACATTTTTAATTCAGATGTTTGCTTTATCTTATGAGATGATAATTAACTAAACAATAATTGTAATTCTAGACCAAGTTATGCATGGTTGAAAATGAATTGGCCTTTTTACTGTAAATGGTAATAAATTTGATGTTATACAAATGTAGTGGATTGGATTTTGGTGCGCTTGTAAAGAGATTTTTAAATATGTCGAAAGATAAGGGATGCCACGTGTTATTATATAGTTGTGAAATGTTTATGTTAAAAAATTAACTGAAATTTTTTCTTCATTAAATTTACTTATATAATGACCAGTAGTTATCATTCAGATTTTCAAAATAAATTTAGGCACCCATGTGAGGTTTCTGACACTCTGCGAAGCTAGTAAATAGATTGGTACCGCCACAGAATAATATTAATCACAACCGTCCAAACATTTACTCTAAAAGATCTGAAGGGATAAGGAAATGGAAATCCAAAAAGATAAAACCAGGAGACTTAATTTAAAGAATAAATTTTAAAAATTAAAAGATATTGGTATATTTTGATAAACGTACTTAGTACATATTTTAATTTGTAAATTTAATCTTCAAATTTAATCTCTCTAACATTATCCATTAAAAAAAACCTTTGGATAAGGCAAAAGATGCAGTTACAACTCAGAAAATAAGAAGAGATTGGTGAGACCTAAATGACAAATTTACCCCTCAAGGAATTCAAAATTTTCGAAAACTAGAAAAAACTTAGGTGAACAGAAACCTCAATTCCGGTCACCCTTCTTCCTCTATGACCATGAGTAGACGAAGAAGACCCTCCACCCATGTATCCAAGAGATGAACCTATGCTTAAGTATGAGGCTATTTTGGTCTTTTTCACACAAACTTCATACATAACCTTGACAAATTAAGCTAGTAAAAGGTGATATACTAATAAAATTTGTGTAGTAGTCCCTGAATTTAGGCCAATTGAAGCTTTGATCGCTGGAAGTAATAATCTGTGAGTACTTGTCTCTAAATGCATCACAATGTGAAGTAACGATCATTTTAAATAACCTATTAGAATTTTCGTCGCTTATTTGTTCTTAAAACTCATTTATTTTGAAGAGAATTTTTATAAAAAAAAAACCATTTGCTTCATTTTGTAACAAGTTCGGAGATCAATACTTACGAAATTTTAATTTCGACCAAATTTCAAGAAATACTACTCCTATTTCATCAACTATACTAGCAAGATATACGGCAACCTGAAGTAAAGTATGAAGCATAACGGCCAAATACCTAAGGAGCAAGATGAAGAACTGAAAAGGACCAAATAAAAATGCTTGAATAAATAATAAAATGAAAATATTATTTGTGTTAATTAATTAGTGTGATATAAAAAGCTTTACCATCGATGAGGGAGAAGGCTGAGTGGCAAGTGGCAAACAACAGCACCGACAACAAAACGGCTACCCCTCTCATAATTTTGATCAATCAAATTCAAACTCTTTCTGCAAATTTTTGAGGTGTAAGCTGGTGAGCAATGCTGAGTGGAAGGAAAAGAGGGAGAGAGGAAGGGTTTATATGCATGTCAGCGTCCAAAGTTGCCCTTAGGTTTACCGAATATAACGAGTTTGCCATTCGAATTTTTGACTATCTTCGCGCGGCCTGTGAAATGACGTGTTTAGGCTTGAGTTCTTTTGTTTTTTGTAAGGGGGTGAAGTGCATATGTCGACATGTGATCCGAATCTGTATGTGTTGTGGCGGATTTGAACCTGAAGACAAAAGCTGTTTTAAGGTCACATGGTTTCGTTCAACCTTGGTTGTTGCGAAGCATGCATGCCCACGACACCCTTGTATCCTCGCACATTTGAATACATGTTTGAAATCCAAGTTCACGTTAAAAAAGTGGTATTCTTGGGAATGTTTGAGATTACGTTCGAAAGGGATGGCGTTTTCTGACAATCAAAAGTATCTTTGTTTCTGTTTGATAGAAAAATTTAAAAGTGTTTCTGAGTCGTAAAATTATATTCTATTTTTTTTTTAATGAAATACGTATGAGCATAAGCGCTTTTTTTTTTTTTTTTTTTTTACAGAAAACAATCTCGAACGTGACGTTAAGTACTCTAACTTTGTAGGAGCCAATTCAAATGTATGTGAAAAGAAATGGTCGCGTTGTTTCGACCAACTGACTCGATTAACTAAGGAATGTACAATTTTGTCTTTTAGAAATGGAAATGAAGTTTGTTAAACAATTAACCATAGTGAATGGAATTTGACAATAAGTGGGGAATGTTTTATGTGTTAATGACATATTTGACCTTATACTATTTGGTGAGGCACTGAGGCCAAAGCACATGCCATTTATTAATGTTTGTTTGGTACACTAGTATTCTTGCCGGTGAGGTCGTATGAGATAAATGACCTCAAGAGAGGCAGCCACACACGGTCTTATAATGCTCACTTCTTAATTAGCTCGATATGTTATATTAACGTATTACTAATTTGATTTAAATCTTAATAACAAAATAAGATGTACAAATGAAGATTTGAAAGTGATAGTTCGAGAGTGGAGTAATGATTTTTTTAGACGACATGAAACCGATATGTAGTTAGCAAGTTCATATTTTTTTGAATCAAATACAAATATGAGACACCAACTAAACAGGGATAATAAAATCATAAGGTTACCGTTGTATGAATAAAAAAAAGATGCATTTTTCTATTTATTCTGTATATTTCATGTGAGAAGTTGTATGTTTGTTTTTTCATACATAATACGAGATTGGAGAATTGAACTTCGAACCTCATATGCAAACAAAAAAATATTTGTAATCACTTGAATTACAACCCTTTTTGCATTGACAATAAATGAAATTATTATTTCTAGCTCATGATATAAGTGGAATTTAAAAAATACAATTATGAACAGATTGAATAAAATTGAGCCTCTTAAGACGGGCATGCACACTTCTCATGAGTAATGTGGTAACATATGCTAAAATATAGCAAATTAACATTTTTATTTAAAAAGACCATTAAGCAAAATATCCAGTAAAATAAAGGATTTGAATTGGAAATGCTTAATATCGGAAAAGATCATCTTCAGATCTCTTCCACTAAATTCATCCCATCAATCAATCTGGGTTCTTGAAATTTGATCCAACGGTTAAAAATAGGATCCTCCTTTAAAAGTTATAATCATTTTAACCGTTGAATCAAATTTTAAAAATCCAAATTGATTGATGGTATGAATTTGATGGAAAAAATCTGGGGAGGATCACTAATATCCATTAAAATTACAAAGGTTCAAGGTTCAAAAGACCAAAGTACCCCTAACCCGAAAAAACACATCACGAGGAATGTAGGGGAAGTGATTGGGGGTGATGTTGGGGGGACCCATATTTTCATCCCGAAAAATCTGAATTGATCGTAATCTGAATTTGTGTAGGATCGTAGCACCCCATGATTCTGGCCGGGTTCTGGGCTTGACATACGAGCAATATGTGGGCCTTTTTTACCATTTAAAAAAAATTATTAAAAATAAAAGGAAACGAAGTGGGCCGGTTTTGATCCAGAGCCTCAACCCCCAGGATCGGCTGCATGTGGACGACCAGCGTAGGCCAGAAATCTAGGGACTTGTCCCCCTTACTTTTTGGACTCTTCTTGATACTCACTGGCCCAAAGTTATGATTGACCACCTACCATCTACCATCTAAATCAATATTAATTTCTCTTAAGTATTTGTACATGGATAAACAAATCATTTTATGGGTATCCCTTTGGATAAAGGGTATGTATATATATATATTTGAATGTAGAAGTTATAAGGTGTCGTAGAAAAGAGAAAACTTAGGAAATTAATTATTAAAACTTTTCATTTCAAACGATATCAACATGTATGTCAGTTTCTGTGTCTAAACAAAATGATCATTTTTCTTTAAAAAAATGAAGTATTACCTCTCTAGTGATTCATGTCCAAGGGCGAGGGTACATAGGAATGAGAATGGCAAGTCCATAGGGAGAATTTTTTTAAAGAAATTAGTTGTATACAATTGGTGATAGAAATGTCGGCTTTCTCACGAAATTGAAAAGTTACTACACACGAAATTATCTTAATTTAATTAAATTGTATAATTAGTGTATAAATTAAGATGTGTTAGAAAAGTTTTTCTCGTCAAAGAAAAATGTGACAATCTTTATTCCAATTGCTGCCTAATGCAAATGATGAAATTTTAAACTTAGATTAGATATCCTTAAATTTCTGAACAATCACAACAGTGAAGATTAGCCAATAATTAAACAATGTGAACTTGGAACTAAAAATACTTAATGGGTCCAAAAATCTCAATAAAATTTTTTTTGGTTGTTTGCTTAGATATGCGACAAGCATGGAAGTAGCCAAAGAATTTCAACCCTAGGATAAAATGCCAAAACCGATTGACATGAAATATACAGCATCACCATTTTCTCCACTTTCCAATTGATCCCACCACAAGAAAACAAGCACCCCTTTTCTTTTCCCAAAACGACTGTTCCTATGTCTTTTGGGCACGGGACCAAATGCATGCATGATCAAGTGTCATCGTCAAAATTGTCAGACCTCAGCCATTTGCATGAATTCATCGCTGCATAACGTTTAGTTCAGTAATATTATATTATATGAAGAAAAATTTAGCATAATAACATGTCAGTAGACTTAGATCGAGACATCACAATGACAATTAATCTGTTTCTATATAAGTTTTTCTCTTTTTGATTACAATTATTCAGTACCTAATAACTCTTTGCAATAATCTTTGAGTAATCTCAATAAGATAATACTTATCTTATTTCATCTATAATTTGGAAATCAAGCCAGGAAATAGCGCAAGAAAACGAAGGCTCGACTTTTAGGGTTCATGCATGGTTGCACACTTGCACGTGAAGTTGAAGTGCCATGCATGTTATATTATGATAACATTAACGACACTGCATATATGCCATCTAGATCTCTTTCCAAGTTGGATATATAGGCTCAATAGAAACGTAATATTGTGGCAAAAATTTGGAGAAACGAATTCACAGTTGCATTACCAATATTGACATGAATGAATTTCATATATACAACTATACAAGCATATATTATCCTTTATCCAATGAAAGCCATCACTCATTCGGATAATACCACAAAATTTGAAAAAATAATTGTTATGGTTTTCAGAGAATGATAACCATGGATGGTTTGATCTTGAGCTTGTTTCTGAAATCAACTTCGAACCAAATAGCTGCACTTTCTTTAGCTATACATGGAAAATGACATGCTAACCTATGCACTTTAATTGGACAGATCGGACGGTGGCTGTACTCTCCATGTGGCAGCATTTAATTAAGTTGTCTCAAGATAAGATAATGATGTAGATCACTTCTTTTGCAAACAGCAAAATTTAAAACTTAAACTAGAGGGGAAATGTTTTTTTTATTTTTTTATTTTTTATTTTATTTTACAAATGGTAGCACAAGTGAGTCAGATAACTATATATATTAGGGGGAATGAAATTAGTGGAGATCGAACTAAGCTATGAGATTATTTGCAGGAACCCTTTTGGCACCTTTCTCCAAATCACAAGTTGACATTTATATTATTAAGGTGATATATAAGAAAATATAAACCGAAACATTAGATGGGGTACGTTAGAGTCTAGTATTTTTCTATTTGCATACCACTCTCGGGTGACACCGTCAGCACTCATGCATATCTCCAGCAATTGAAGAAAAGGGACATGAAATATCCTGCCTATCCTGAATTTAATTCACCTAAAGCAACCTCACATTTGAAGTGAATCTTCAAGATTGGATAGCATATCTCAATCTCAGATGGTTGTTTTCAACTAACAATTATAAGCTTTCAGATGTAACACAACCCAACTTTGTGTTCAATGATTTGAATAATAATTTGACCTCCCAATTTTCTTGATACACAGGTTCGTGTGTTTGGGTTCTTAATCCTTTAGGTACCGTTTGGTACACATACATGATAGAACGGGACGGAAGAGAGGTTTCATGCTACGTTTGGTGTATGCTCAGATCGGAATGGAACAAAGGATTAAATGACAATCGTACCCATCCACTCCGACGAGTTCGACCTTACCTGAGCCACCACCGACAAGTTCAATGTCATCCCTCACATCTTCCGCCTAATCCTCGTCGTCCCATCCCTCGAGCGACGGCGTCGGCACGTCTTGCGAGTGGGTGGTCTTGAGGTTTTTGTGGTGGAGGGCTACGGTCTTGTCGTGGGACTAGCAGGGAGGAGGGAGGCGTCGGGAGGAAGGTTAGGTTGGGTTCATATGGGTTTACTGGGATTGGGTTAGCCTGAGTTGCTGAGTTTGTGGTGGAGGAGGAGGAGGCTACATGAGAGAAGGAGGCTAAGGGAGAGAGAGGGTAGATAGTGAAATTAATGAAAAAGAGGATGGGTATTGTTGTCCAACAAGTTATTATTTTGTGTTCCATGGGGAAGGGTGACACAAAAAATTAACTAAAATCCGTTCCATGAGACAACGCATCCTAGGTAAATTGGGGCACCAAACG